TGGCTCCCTCAGTTCTGGTCTTTCAAATCCCCTCCAACTTAAAGATGGACTTAAGGTCCATCTCGAGTGTTGCCATCCATAAGACTCCCCTTGAAGCCCACCGTGCTTGCACTCACTGGCATATCCTTTGACTCACTGACTCATCTCTCACAGGGTCCTCCCTGCCAGAGGATAGCTCACAAGCAAGGCCTGTGTTTTAGACTTCCTTTGTATCTCTCACAGTCCACCTGAGACACTAAATAAATATTTGTTGAATTAATGAATGAAATACCTCTCACAAAGCACCAGACTACGGCCTAGACTACCTTCAAAGGCTTTCAGGAGCATGTTTCTCCCAGTTCTTTACAAGTTTGGTTGTCTGCCTCTCTAGCCTCTGCAAATCAGCAGTGAATGACTGGGAGTGGAGAAGGGTTTTCAGTGAAACATTCTCTGTAATGTGGAGCTGGAAAATTCAAAGCTGCAGTACTATGGTAACAGTATTTTCATAATAAGGAGCTGACTCACTAAGAAAAAGTTAAATGATATTTTTTACTCTTCATTTAAGGTTGTGGAGAATTGTATAATAATAACAAGATGCTTTAAAAGGGGCAAACATTGGTTAGCTGGAAAAATCACTTGCGTCAATCTATAGATTGCCATCCACTGCTCTCCATCGGTGGGAGGAGATGCAGCAACCCCATTGCTCTATATTATGTTTATGCACATATTATTGCCAGGGTACTGTGGCTTTCTAGTATTCCACTTTCAAAGAGCTACGGTCACCAGCTTTATTTAGGTGGTTTCAATGATCCTCAAAGAAGCCTATGACATATTAAATAAGAGATTTAAGGACAGGAAAGAGACAGAAACAAAACACATGAAAAGCAGACATCCCAGTCAAGCCCAGAGCTTCTATAATGGATGGTTTAAGGTATGGTGGGAATTATTTCTGATTCAACGATTTCGTTCTCTCACCTGTTAAAGTATTGTCTTTAGGAGAAAGCCTTTAAATTAAAATTTTGTAAAACACTCTGTTTCTTGAATACTGTGCAAATAGTTTCATAAGAAAGTTATATTAATTTTTATAAAAAATTTCACATTTATAGTGCTGAGTTATTTTTTAATTGTTTAATTGCATTAGATTTCTCAAAAGCTATTTAGAAAAAAATTGCAATAGGAAGGCCTGTCCATTGATTTTTCAGAAGAAAGCTGGTTTTCACAATATTATTCACATTTTGTAAACAGCATCAATGAACCTGCACATAAAAGGTTAAATGTTTGCAGACTATTCTTTTTTGCCTCAAAGATCAGAGACAAATTACTATTTTTATTTTACATTCCCTTGATGAGGATAATGATAAACAGCTGTCACTTCAGTGCTTAGACTGCAAAGAATCCTATTGCAATCCTATAATTTAAACAAAGAAAAAATACATAGTCATACACAGTATACATACAGAAAAGAGCACGATAGAGAATTTGGTTAGAAGTGGGGTTAGAAAGAAGGGAGCATTTGCTCTCTGCAATTACTCAGTTAAAAGAAAAATTCCATCTATGTACATTTTTCCCATTCATGTTAGAGACGTTAGAAGGGGCAATTACTCCTCCTTTCTTTCTAAATTCAGAAAAGAAATTAAATTTGCATTCTGAATTCTGTGACACCCCATCATGTCCATGGTATAATCAGAATAGTTAAGATTTACATGTGACCATGTGTCTATGAGTAGTTCCAAAAATTAAAGAGAATTTCAAATTGTTTTACTGGTTATTCTGGAACACTTCTATTTTTTTTTTTTAATGTTGAGAATTCAACCATTCACTGTTCTCCATACACGCTGACACTCTGCTTATTAATTGCACCTGGTTTCAAAAGTGAAAGTCAGTGTCTTTTGTATATTCTGATATGCAAAAAGTAAAGCAAGGCTAAATGTTAAGAATAGTGTGAAATGGGAAAAATCAGTGTTTATAAAAATGTGGATGGTGATATAATTCTCCTCGTGTTTCATATTCCTAGACGTTCTTTTAAGAAATGCTATTTATTCTGCTTTTCTCTTTTGGCTCAACCATTAATTTTTTACAAGTATCAGTACTTCAAAGACATCTTTCTCCTAGAGACTCTTTCTACATTTATTATTTTGTCTGTGAAACTGACTTGATATATTATAGATGTTTCACTGTTTCATAATACTTCTTGATTTTTTTTATACCTAAGGAAAAAAAGAAATTGTTTTAACATTGAATTCATCTTACATTTATTGAACAAATTTCAGCTCTCAGAGCCTCAACATGCTCTTCTGTGGGTTGACAGTAACAATGGTACCCACCTCCTAAGGTTGTGGTACGTATTTTCTATGTAAAGTGCTTAGCGTAGTACCTAGAACACAGACAGTGTTCAATAAATGTTTCTGGAGAGGTGGTATGTAGACACTGAAATGCCATCACCCCTACTGTTAAATACAACAGCAAAAGCCCAGTATATTTCAGATCAGAGACACAAACTGAATTGTATTGTGTCTATTATGGAGGTTTATATTGCTTTATCTAAAAGATGTTTTCCTCTCAAAGCTGTAGGTCATCTGTTCTCATTTATGTAAATAATTTCATAATCATTTTATCATCTTCACTATTACGAAGTAATAGTGGATTCTAGCTGATCAACTTGGGGTTTCTCTGGTCTCCAATTTCTCTAGCAAGTAGGCATCATTGGAGACCCTGAAATGCACTGGGGCAGCTTCCTTCGTTTAGGTAAACCCATTTGTAGTGTTAACTCCTCCTCCTTCTCCGGTGAAACAGGCTCTGTGCTAGGTGCTCAGAAGGGAGAGATAAGCAAGGCCCCAGAGTCTAATAGGGGGAGAAGCATAAAACTAGGCTGGATATTAAATAATAAGAGTGAGTACAAGACACAGGTGAAGTACAGAGGTGGGAGTGATAGAGGGTCTGAAGGCCATTGGGAGCTTGTCTAGAAGAGGTGATGGTGGAACAGGGCTTTGAAAGATGAAAGGTCTTCACGGGTGGGAGGAGGGGGTTCCAGGCAAAGGGACTAGCTTGTAGAAAACATGGAGGGGTTTTCATAATGTGTGCTGAGAGGCAGGCAGCTCTCTAATTCTTATTCAGAAAGAAAAGAAAGAAACTAACATTTATTGAGTGCCCACGAGGCCCTCAGCTAGCTCATTTCATATGTGTTATCTTTTTCAGCTTCCATAAGTTTTCCAGGGAAGTATATCCCCATTTTAAAGATGGAGAAGCTGAGTCTCAGTTACATTAAGTAACTGAAGTGCGGCTATACAGCCAGTACATGATAGAGCCTGAATTTGAACCTAAAGTTTTCACTTTCAAATACAATACTCTTAAAACATCACACTGATTCTTAGAATCTGGGCTCAGCGTGGAGCACATTCACAGTGGTTTTTATGCCCTGGAAAGAAGTCTGGGAACAGGACTGTGTTTTTTCACTGCCACAGCTGACCTTCCTTCTGTCACTTGACCACTTTATGGCCTTAGCTTTTCCCCTATTTATCTCAGGTCCTATGGTGCTTATATCACAAATTAATAATAAAAATAAAGAACTTCATAAGACTTGATTTAATTCTTTCTTTCAGTGACCAAAGACCATTTAAAAAGAAATGGTGTAGAGGAACAACTGTCATTTTTGAAACTTCCAATCCTCTACCTTGTTGTAGTAGCAGTAAGATGCCTCAGAAATATCCTCAAACTGTCACCCTGAAGCATGGGGGTCATACTCTCAGAACTGGAAAATGACTCTTGTCTTTTAGAGTGAGCACGTATTATTTTAGTATTTTTTAAAGTGTTGGATGTTTCTGAGCAAGAGAAGCCTATATAAATGATTAGAAGCAATTCTATCTTTGTTACTGTTGATTTCGTGGCCTACAAATATGCCTTTCACACAGGCATATTGATTCAAAGGAAAAGCTTATCATTTACAGATCCATTTAAGCTACTTAGCACAGTGCTTTGCCTAGAACTGATTAGATGATTGAAAACCTGGCAGATCAAAGTATGTACATTTCCAAAGAAAAGGACCTCATGTCCACAGTGGAAGCAATAAATTATTTCCCTTTTTTTGCATTCATAATTAAATCTTTTCAAATGCTAGAAAGTAGCCAGACCACTAACAATATTTGTTTCATGTTCTGGGGCTTAGATGGTTCAACCTGACTTGAAATGGAGACCATTTGTTCTAAATTGATTTCAATGCCAAGCCAATAGGTCAGCCCTTAATGATGAAGATGCCATTCCAGCCCAGCCTCTGGTGGATAAGCCAAAATTAATTAATTCAAGTCCCGTAGTATAAAAAACAGATGCTTCTCTCATATTGTACAAATAAATTCTTTGTGTATAGATGTGTTCTGTTTTACTCAAAGAATAACAACTTGCAAGTTAAAACTGTGTTTTTCACAATGGAGCCAGCCTTTAGTAGTGATGACAAAAGCATGAATTTACATAACAAATTCCAGCAAGTGCATGGAGAAATGAGTTATCCTCTATATCTCTTATTTTGGCTCCAGGCCAGGCCTAGGAGATTTAGTTTTAAGTCTGGGCTGATCCAAATGCTCATCCATTCCAGAGCAGACCTAGGAGTTCCGGAACAACACCAAGGTTATTTCTAATCTACAGAATCCCTGGAGACCCCTCCCAAAGGTTTACATCTGCATCATATGTTTGGATTCAGTTCTCTGGCCAGCTTGCAAATGGCTTAACATTAGATTGTTCTCTAGAGGTATGTTGTTAGGTGCACTGTTTATCTGGTTATTCATCTCAACATTCATTCAGAATTAGAATACTTGCTTTTCCTAGATTGTGGCAGGCGAAAAGTAGAATAATAACCGCATGCTTCTGATCTCTTTTCAGAATTGATGGATGTGCAATAAGATAAAGATGTTACCATCTAGTAGTGTAACTCCAAATACAGTAAACAGAAGTTGATCATCTGATAATGTATGGTGTTTTTTTTTCTTCTGAACGAATGTGAAATAATCCATGTTTTCTTTCCTTTCTGTTAGACTGAAAGTGATGAGAATGGCCAAGCAGAAAACTTTTCCATGGACCCACAACTGGAGAGGCAAGTGGAGACCATTCGCAACCTCGTAGACTCCTACATGTCTATTATCAACAAATGTATCCGAGATCTAATTCCAAAAACGATAATGCACCTTATGATCAATAATGTAAGTGATTATAAACTGTCTCATTTTAACTTCTAACCCATCCTAGTGTGGAAATTGCTCACATTCTCTCGAGTTTCTTTGTGATATTTTCTGGATGGCTGAAATACCTATTACCCACATTCATCATTTTCCATTACAAGTGGTCAGTGACTGACCAGTGAAAGAAAACTTAGGAAAGAAAACATAAAACTTCTAGCTATACTGCTGTGGTATTCCCCATTGGCCATCTCCTCTAGAAGGGTGTGAAATTGCTTACAATAAAGCAGAGGAAAAATACCATAGCTATTATGGTCAGGGTATAAATTAGTTGCAAAAACAGCAGTAAAACCAGATGCCCTGGCTCCTAGACTTTGAGATTAAAGGCAAAAGATATTTATTCTTTTCTACACACACACACACACACACACACACACACACACAATATGTTAATATGATTATTTTCACCTTCTAAAAACTACAGAATGCTATTTTAACCTGGGAAAGGACTTTTTGCCCTATCCCCTTGGATACAAAGTCAGCAACTTTCCTTTTCTAAGGTAAAGATGACATAGCCACAAATCTCAAATGTCCTACTAGACTAGCCATCAATAGAATCTCTTCCTTCTCATGGTTATTTTTATAGTAGTCAGGATATGATACTTAAATTACATGGGAGATTTGGTTCTTTTGGTAGCTACTTTTTTAAAGTACAAATATTATCACAAGTTATTTGAGAAATTATCTTTTAGATAAGATAGGTTATAATGGGGTGTTTTATAGCAGGCTTTTCTGAGACTTGAAAAGTGAGACACCAACAATTTTATTCCTAGTTATCCTCTAAGGACACCTTCTTATTTAAATCAATGATATATTATGAGCATTTGCTTGTAACAAATAAAAATTACATGACAAAGTACTGAAAAGAGCCCCACACTAGAATTCAGGAGAAACCTGGATGTTGCAACAGACTCTGTTGACCCTAAGACAAATCACTTAACTTCTTGCATCTATTTCTTCCATATGTAAAATGCTAATCATAGAAAAAGTACATGGCTTAAGGATTTGTTCCAGAAGATAGTATATGTGGAAGTACTATGAAAAATATAATTTTAGGAAACTAATATGGCTACCTATTTAAGAACTACAAGTAGCCTTTATCCATAATTCAAGATTCCTTTCAAAACTGTATTTCTAAATATGCAAATCAATTTGTTGTTCATGATCTGCACATTCCTTGACTGTAAGAAGTCCCCAGCACTCATGTGAACAATCTTGTTTTTAACTAAGTCTATTTTTATACACATTTCGTGTATTCAAACAAGGTTAGTAGGATGCTTTGAAGTATCAGCAGCAGGTAAGCGCAATATCAGAAATTTGGAAACTATGAATGGTATTCTTCCACTTGGTCAGTGGCCTGCTGTGTGACCTGAAGCAAATCATTTGGCCCCCTAAAGTCAGTCACTTCTGAAAGAACAGTAAGAACACTGAGCTGCCTCACAGAAATGTCAGAGAACATAATTAATGTGACTACATGCCATTTTGAAAAATATAAGGTACTAAATAAATAGTCTGTGTATTTTTAAAATTACCCTCTTAACTTTACTTAAATGAGTTCAGGTTGTTTTGCCGTGGTATATCCAGGCACTTGTTTATTTAAACATTTTCCTGATTAAGTATCATTTATCTTTCACTGTTTTACCGAGAGTCATTAGTGCTGCCATCAGTTCAAACGCTGCTCTGCTCTGCACAGCATTAAACCATCAGCACAGGAAATGGTGCTTCCTGTCTATAGCTGTGAAGAGTAGCTTGACACAAATTAGTTAAAAGGAAAAAAAAGACCCTATTGCAAATCTATCCTACTTTCACCTTCTCAAGAAAAACACACACACATCCACACAGAAACGTGGGGGTGACTGTCCTCACTCCTGGTGCCCCTGCTCACTTTCATGACACGGCTAACCGCCCCGCAGGGTGCTGTCCTCAGAGGCAAAGCTCTGCCTGTTGTCCTGAGAGACCTCACCTCAGAATCATGAGGAAGAAGACTTCAATTAGTCAAACCTTAAAGTAGAGACTAATAGGAATGTGGAGAAAGCAAAAAGATCATGTAATGCTGGATTCTTATGAAATTATGGGTACCCTTGTTTGAAATTTAACTGTTCATATCTACCAGAAAATGGTTTTAACCTATCTAGGATGATAGCTTTCCTTTGAGTATTATTTTATCCACTTTTTTACTATATATGTAAAAATATATAGTTTAATCATATAACATATATTTTATATTTTAAAATTATATATATAATTATATATATGTAAAAATATAAATCTCTTTTTCTAAATGTACTCATAGTCTCGTGGCATCTTGTTGTACAGAACGTCAGAGCCCTCTCTGTTGTTTCCAGAAGTACCTTGTTGAGTTCAAGGAACAGAAACATGAACACTCGGCACTGTGTCATGCACATGTGCTGATGTTTTATGTGCTTTAAAGTGAAGAGATCTTCAGGCAAGAGAATTAATCACAGAATCACAACTTAAACGAATACTTTGACTCCTCATCCTAAATTCCATCCACTTAACCCTGTTGCTTCTAGAAATGGCTTTGGGTGAAAAAGCTAGTTATTCCTCCAGAACCAATAAATGCCTAAAACGGGGTCCTCGATTCGTGGACGATCCCTGTTGAAAGCGGTGCTGCGGCCTTTCCTCTTTGAAATGGGAATGGCTACTCTGATGTCTGAAAAAGAATATGTTTCAGCCAGCCTTCATAAAGTTCAGATTTTGGTGGGCAGTTTCCTTTGAAAGTTTACATTAAGTGTTCTGCCACTCAAGCCTCCATATGGAATTGTTTAAGGAGTTTAAAGCCAGCAATAAATGCCTTGCCTCAGACATACTGTAAGCCTTTGTCTATTGAAACGCAGCAGCTGTTTCATTGCTTAAACATACCAGGTAACAGCGGCACACAGAAATAGCAAGTTTATGACAGGCGGTCGTTCTGGCCGGGCTACAGTCAAAGAGCAGGGTTTTGTTCGGGACTTTAAAGTTAACACACACATAACACCCCATGGCAAGCACATTTTGATGGCTTCTTCTCTGTAGCTCACCCCACCAGAAGGTCTCCATCAGAGAATCGAGAAAGTGGATCCAGCTTTATTCTAAAAGTGTGAGTGGCAAAATGGCACATAATTCTGTGTTTGAACCCCTAGGACAGCCACCCATTGGGTACTCAATACTTTGCCCAGATTATAAATGAAGAAATTGAGGCTCCAAGAAGCTAAGTGACTTGCCCAAGATTACACAGGTGGGGGTGGCAGAGTCAGGATTAAAATCCAGGTCTTCTCATTCACAGTCTGATTACTCTCTCCCTTTCAACATCAGATAATGCATATGGCAAGGTTAGGAGAACTGTTAAGTCAGCCTCCTCAAACTAGGGGGCTCCTATCCCCATAGCATGTATGTGGGGTATCTTCCCAGAGGGGTCATTTTACTCCAAGATTTAATAAGGGTTTGTCTGAATATGAGGAACAATGTTTTAAATTACTTAAAACATTGTTCCTCATATTCAGACAAATCCAGACAATACAAAATTGAATGTAAAGTTTTTATGAAAACTTTTCAGAACCAAGTATGAAACCTACAGGCATTTCACACTTGGCATGTGGCTGCAGCCTGTGCCCCTGGACCCCTGGAGGTCCACATTCACTCTCCTTGGCCATTGGCACTTCGGGGGACAACTAGTAACATGTGCCCTAGTTTCAAAACTTACTGTAACTTTAACGTGTATGAAGTAGAGTGTTATTTTAAATGTTCATTATTTGAGGGGAAAGTACATCTTAACTACCAGAGCATTGATATGTTTCCACGGGTCAAGAATTCAGCATCCTGCTCAAGAAACAGATCACAACCAGGACCCAGAAGCCCATTCTTGCTCCCCCCGCCCCCATCGCTCCCCATCAAGGGTAAAACTCCTGAGTTCTTATACCACTGATTAGTTCTGCCCGTTCTTCAACTTTGGAATCATCCAGTATGTGCTTTTTTGTGTCTAACTTGTTTTGCTCAACGTTATGTTTGTGAGTCAAAGGACGTTACTTTTTAAAGAAGGAAAACTTCGCCGGTCTTGAGCAGAACTAAATCCCTGGGAAATGGAACGGAGGCTTAAGTAGAAAGGAGAGAATTGTGAGATCTCAAAGAATCACAAAATTCTAACCAAGCCTCTCTCCGAAACTAAGCAAATTTAAACTTCTCTATTAAATTTTCATATATGTATTCCTATGAATGAGAGCTAGCACCGTGTTCCATACTGCAGCCCTCCCGCCTACGAACAGATTTTAAGATAATGGTCTCCTTAGGCACTAAATTGTATGAAAACCCTAGAAATGTCTCTTCCATTTGTGAAGGCTTTAAAATGGTCTTAGTAATAAAGACAAAGAAGGTTTAAGATGCAAAAATATTACAGGTTGCTAGAGAAGGGTTAAAGTCAGAGAGGAAAACATGTGGAACGTTTTTAATGACCTCACATTCCTTTACACTGAGCAGAGCAACGTGGTGCAGTAATGCCTGTTTATCTAGCCTGCAGAGTTTGAACTGGAATGAGGTTTTGTGTGTGAGAATTTTTTTGTGAACCATACAAAGATGTGTGGGTTATAAGGTGTTATAATTAAAAGCATAAATATTATTTCAAATTTCACATCCAGTGTAATTAGTTTCTGTCATGTCCTGTGAGGTATTTTCTAAATGCTGTCATCTAAAAGGGATCCACTTGGCCTCTAATTGTCCTGCAGAATCCTTGATTTAAATATTTGTACCACTGACTGCTCAGAAAGTCCCCGAAGTGTCTGGAAACTCCCCGAAGTCCCCCCTACCTTTGTTCCAGTTGCAGCATCACAAAGCTAGGTTAGCAGCAGGAGAAGAGTCTTGGCGAAATTTTGCTTAAGTGAAAAATAAAATGTTAGCCTGTGCTCTCTACTGAACTATGTCACTCGATGCTTCCTCATTGTCCTTCCACCTCTATATCCCTAATGCCGACTTAGCCTATATACTGCAAAAAGAATAGCTCTTGTTTCTGGAGCACTAACTAAAGGCTAGGCATCGTGCTAGGCAATTTATATTCATTCTTTCACTTAATCCTCACAGCAGCTCTGGAGGCAGCTACTACCATTATTCTCATTTTACAGATTAGGAACCTGAGACTCAAAGAGGTTACGTTCTTTGCCCAAGAACAGGAAGTGTTGGGGCTAGGACTCAAATTCAGAGCTGTCGATTCCAAGGCTTATGTTCTTAACCACAGTGCTCTACTGCCATTTTCTCTCATGCTAATAATACTCATATTATTTCAGAACATTGCCAAATCTTTTGGAGAGTGGCAAGTTTTAGTGTGTAACATTTTGATGTGGAAGAGTTGATTCAAGGCAGATCTTTGATCAGAATGCTGAAACAGGCCCTTATTATTTTACTTTGTGGTTTGTTTGACAGTTGCTTCTTAATTCAGATCTGCTTTAAATCTATTCTTGGAAGGATCTTCTTTTAAATTGTGTTTAATAGATTCTAAGTGATACTCCAGTAAAATGTAAAGCTACAAAAGAGCTTAACACAACGGATGGTCAATGCCAGGAAAATCGTCTGGTTTGGGGTTTGGAGTTACACCATCTATCCAAGTGCACACACACACGCAACAGTGGAAGATGTGTGCAAATGTCCGTGACTCCTTGGTTACCTGAAAGTGTGTTTAGAAGTGAATAAATCTTCAAGGAGGGGGATGAAATATTCCTTAGGCCAAATTTACTGCTTTTCCTCTAAATCTGACTTTCCTTCTTGACTTGTGATTTTTTCTGCTCCCACTCACTCAAACCTCAGTGCTTGGGGTGTTTTTGTTCCTTTCTTCCTTGCCCTTCACGTGAAAACAGCACCAAGTCTTGTTGGATTTTCCTGTATAAAGTCATTTATATGCGCCCATCTTTTCTATTCCCCTGCAACCTTGCTAAATCCCTTATCTCATAAATGATCTACAGTAGTCTTCTAACAGATTTCTTTATCTCCACTACCACCCTTGCAAATTCTTGTCCATTCACAGCCAGATTAACATTCTTAAAACTCTCATTTATTGGTTCATTTGCTTAAAAGCCTTCCATGGCTCCCCACTGCCAAATGGATAACATTCAAACACTTTTCCTTGGCATTCAAGGCCTTCACATCTGGCCCCAGGTTACCTGACCAAATTTACCTTCTGCAACAATTACACATAAACCTTCTACTCTACCAGACAGTAGCCTGAACACATCTTGTATATTAGATTCCTTCCACATTTGAGTCACTCTTGGTTTACAAAATATGTGCAGAGAATACTTTTCATTTCACCACAGTGAAGCTATGATTTAGCTGAATTTTCCAATTAGAGGAATTAGTTACATGTTTCGATACCTTCAAAAAATCATGAAGCTATGTGTTTTAGACTCTTGTCGTCTCTGAGTTACAAATTTAACTACAACCCAGGAGTTTTGAGCATCTGACAGGTGTTCAGTTGCCTCTGCCTTTCTTAGAGGTATCCAGTGACTCTAGATAAGTGTTAGGTTTCTCATTTAACAGAGAAACTGAAAAACCCAAGTTGGTTTACTTTCCTAGGCTTAAGTTAGTTGGCATACTTGCTGTACCACTCTTAAATAATGTTACTTAAACATAAATTGTCTTTTCTAAGCACTCAATCAAGGTGGGGTAATGGAGTAATGCAAAGAGCACTGGCCTTCAAGTCAGAAGATCTGGGGTTCAACTTAATGCTGTGTGACTTTGGGCAAATTACCTAAACTCTCTGAACTTCATTTCTTCATCTATAAAATTGGGATAATAATACGTTTCATAAGTATGTGGCAAGAATTAAGTCAGATAGCTTGTGAAGGCACTTGGGACATACAATATTTCATTGATTCTTGCATTCACTTTTTTCACATTTAATACTTCTGACATGAAGATGCATGTTATACTCAATGGCATTTTGGCATTCTGTCATAGTTTAATTGATGGTGTTTCTTCTTTCTTAGTGACACATAAGATAGTGGTGCGTCTTAAAATCAATGGTGTTTCAGATGTGATGAAATATGGCGGTCGATGCTCTCTCCCGCAGTGCTGTGCTCTCCATTCTCATCCCACAACAAAATGCCCCTCCCCTAAGGCTCATACGTATTGTTCGTACTTTTGTTCGTTTCTATATATCTGTTACTCATGGAACCTCATGTCAGTCCTCATCACTGTTAAATAGCTTCTACTGTAAATTTTTAGAAAGCAGAGTGTGTCACTCATTTTGTAAATCAACTTGAATTGTTATATAATGTTCTGTACTTAATAAATATTCACTTATTGGTGCTAATTCCACTTTTGAGATGACACTGAAATTTGGAGTCTTAATAGTATTCCAGTGATTTTGGTAAAAGCTAGGTAAAGGACTGGGAATACCAAGGAATGGATAACGTGTGTTATTACATAGGTTTCTTTACGTCATGGTTTCCCGTTGAAAATACTGCTGCTTACCTCCTGGTACCTTTGTTCGTCCCTAAGCCAAGCAGCCTCAGACATCATGGAAATGCTTGCACAGCCAACAGGCCCTGTTCTGGTGAGGGCAGGGTTTGGCCCTCTTTTCAGCTAATCTATGTTTTCCTTTAGTGTCAACAGCCATAAGACAGAGGGGACAAATGTTACGGGCACCTGTACTGAGGGTTGGGAGCATAATAAAGAAAATAAGAGTGAAGAGATGCATGATGCATCCTTTTTCCCAGAGTGGACTTTTGCGGACTTTGCCCCAGGCTCTGAACCAGTTTACACCACTCGATCACTCATTCGTTCCCATTTTTACTTTTCTGTGGTCACCTGACAGGTGAAAGATTTCATAAATTCCGAGCTCCTAGCACAGTTATATTCTTCAGAGGACCAAAATACTCTGATGGAGGAATCTGCTGAGCAGGCTCAGCGCCGGGATGAGATGCTTCGAATGTACCAGGCCCTTAAAGAAGCCCTTGTGATCATTGGCGACATCAACACTGCCACTACCTTCACCCCGGCACCGCCTCCTGTGGATGACTCCTGGATACAGCACTCCCGCAGGTAGGAACATGGCCCCCCTCACCTGAGGCCAGCCAAGCTTGTCCAGTATCATTTCCCAAGCATGCGTCTCTAAACCAATATGAATGTAAAGAAAAAAGAGGAAAAAAGATACTTATGTTCAGGAGTCAGAGAGAGGGTCAGATGATCCCAACTCCCTTCAAAAACAAGCACCATACACCCTTATAGTGGAATGTTATACAGCCATTAAAAAGAGTAAGTTCTTCAAAACACTGAAAGGATAGTCAAGTAATGTGAAGCTTAAAAAAAAGAAAGTTGTAGAACGTTGTGTTCTATTATGTACAGAAAAGGAATTTATAGAGAGAGGGAGAAAAAAAATATTGTAGAATATAGTTGAAAAGGATACACAGGAAACTATTGGTTGTCTCCACAGAGTGAAGGGGTGGGGGAGGGAAACTTCCTTTTCATCACTTACCCTTTTATACCTTTTAACATTCGGTACATGTATCTGAGTTAGTCAAAAAATAATTTTTAAAAAGCAGTCAGGGAGCCATCAAATATTTCTTTAAAGATGAATTCAGACAGAAAGTAGAAGCGGGCAACCTGCTGTTGTCTCTTCCCCAGGTCGCCCCCTCCCAGCCCCACCACCCAGCGGAGGCCCACGCTGAGCGCACCCCTCACTCGGCCGGCCTCGGGCCGAGGGCCCGCTCCCGCCATCCCCTCCCCTGGACCCCACTCGGGGGCGCCCCCGGTTCCATTCCGGCCCGGCCCCTTACCTCCCTTCCCCAGCAGCAGCGACTCGTTCGGAGCGCCTCCCCAGGTCCCGTCTCGGCCCACGAGGGCCCCGCCCAGCGTCCCGAGGTGAGTGTTCTGCGCGCAGGGAAACGGGGGCATGCGCTTTGGTTCTCTTCTCAGAGCATGACAGACAAAATTTATTTGAATAAGAAAATTGCAAACATATTATCATCCACGTTTGCAGTTTTCACCCAGGAGGGGGATCATGGGGAAACTGCTGAGCCTGTTACACCATTTAAAAACCAATATGTGGTCTAAACCTCTCGTTTATCAACTTGGCACAAACTAAATGGGACCAAAGAAAACTGGGTCCAAATGAATGACGATTTGGCAGCAGTTTGTAGAACGTGACGGAGAGCTTTGAAACGAAAGCGCCGTGGCGGGTCTGTTGCAAGCTGTGCGCTTCGTAGGTCAGTGGAGTATCACCAGCTGAGGCCTCACCTTCTCTATTACCAAAGGAATTCTAGAAAACCACCAACTTTAAGGAATATTATCCATCTGCCTTCTGAACTATGACCCTTAAACCCATATTATTAACTTTAGTGTAGGCTGAGGAAAAATCTGGCTGATTAATCTGCAGTTGTTTTTTTAGAAACTATGCCTAGAAATTTTACTATAGACATCATGATTGCTGTATGCAGTCACTAACCATGTACGAGATAAAACACTGTATATTTGAATAATACATTTTGGCATTTGTAAGCAGATTTTCAGGCTCAATTGTGAAACAAAATAGCTAATAAATAAATGGAACTTGAAATGTATATAGTTGAAGCAGTAGTCTCACCTTCGTACAGTCAAAATATGTACAATGTGTATAATTAGAGATTTTGAAAATAGAAGGAATTAGGGTTTTTTCCTCAACATCAGAAATTTAAAAAGGAAAGAAAATTAGCCCATACAGAAAGTTAATTTTTTAAAACTTCAAGTCAAAGGATTAAAATATTTGTATACTCCATGAAGGAAAACCTTACTACGCATGAACCGTAAAAAAAATTCTGCTCACCCATGAGGCCTGAGTCACCTCAGCCTCTGATTACAGTGCTTACATTTCTTTTGATCTTCAGGCTGTTGGGTGTAATGAAGAGAAGAAGGGGCATCTTAAACTTGTAAACAAAGGATGTAGCAGGACTAGCAGGGGATGTGGAATCCAAAGATCTGGTTTGCCACAGACCTTGGGCAACTCATTTAATTCTAAGCCAGGAGTTCCTCACCTATGAAATAAGGATAAATTCAGCAAGGTTGTTGCCCAAATCATTTGAGATGAGGTATTTGAGAGAGTCTCATAAACTATAAAGCACTGTGGTTGTTACTGTTATCGTCATTTTGCTCCTAATCAAACAGGATATACGTACACTCAAACCTATATTTTTTTCTCTAAACTCAATAGGTTGGCTTATAATTTATTTGGAACTGAGCTAAATTTCTAGTAATAATAGTAAAAACAGCAGTTCATAATTATTGTGCTCTCAGTGTATGCAAGGCACCGCCCTAAGGGCCTTGCAGGTACACTTTTGTTTACTGCTCACAACAACCCAATGAGATAGGTTATCATCCATTTTACAGAGGAGGCATGGAAGTTAAGCAACTTGCCCAAGGCTGCTCGAGCAGGTTCTAATGGAACTGGGCTTTAATCCCAAGCAGTCTGACTCCAGAGCCCAGTCTCCCAGCCAGAATACCAGGGTTTCTCAACCTCGGCACTACTGACATCTTTGTTCTGGGGGACTGACTGTCCTGTGCATTTTAGGACATTTAGAAGCATCCTGGCCTGTACCCATTGGATGTCAGTTGCACTCCCCCAGTTGTGACCACTAAAAATGTCTCTAGACATTGCCAATGAGGGGGGAGGGGTAAACGCCCTCCCATTGAGAACCATGGCACTGCAGTATAAAAAGACTTTCTCTTCCATGTAAAACAACGTAAATGTCAGCATCAAGCCTCACTACAAGCAAGATTAAATTACTGTTTTAGGGGACCTCAGATTAACTGGGAAAGTGTCTGCCATTGTGCCAGGAAGGTATGGAGGCCATTGAGGGAGGGGTGTTGGGAGTGGGAAGGCGGGACCCCCATCCAGGAGCTTTGAAGTCGGCTATTTTGTCTGTTTAGCTGTAAGAAGGAACCGGAGCAACACGGTGGTGCCTGTCCTTGGGAATGAACATGCATGTCTTGCCTGCTCGCTTGGCTGCTTTACCTCTTGGTTTCAGATAAGCTGGCTTGCCAGTCCCCTTCAGAGAAATCAACCGTTGAATGCTCAACTGATTTGTTAAGTGGGGTGGAGTCGCCCTGGGTATTTCCCAGCACGAACACAGAAGGCAGCCCGGCAGCCGTTGGTAGCTGGAGCTGGAGAAGGGGAGCCTCCAGGTTCAATGCGCCTGCACTGAGGAATTTATAAGACAACAGTTGTGTTATTCAAGATTTCTAGACTATTCTCAAGGTAGAGGCAGACTTAACTGGATCTGGTCTTGCAAGAAGTCTCGAATGTAAAACAGAAATGAGAGTTCAGAGTAATAAGAGGAAAGTTGGTTGTTTTGTGCTGAGCCTTCAAGTTTCAGGGCCAGTTCAGAACACTGGGAGGGAAATCCCTCTGGGGGGTAAGGGGTGTCACCTGGGAGAGAGCAAGAAAGACTCTGTCAGGATCCTTATGCCTATTAAAGTTTAGCTTTAGATGGAGAATTCTGACCACAGAAAGTCTGTTTTTAATAAAAGCCAGAGCAGGAATCCTACCAAATGCAAGCCAGAAATGAATGGGGTTTAAGATTTCAAAAAAAGAAAGAAAGAGAAAAAGAAAGAGAGACAAATATAGAAAGAAAGAAAGGAAAAAAAAAAGTTGAGAGAAGCTCTTATTGAAACTTCACCTTGTTCTATTTATTTATATATTCTCTTTCCCTCCATGATTTGCCTACATTTTCTCTATTAAAAACTAAAAAAACCTGAAATGCCATTATCCATCATCTCCAAGAAAACAACTCTTAACTTTCCGAGAAGGAAGTTTGATTTTTTTTTTCAGTTCTTTGCTTTCTTAAGGGCCCTTTCTCGTCTTTTATCTGAAAGAAGAGACTCATAACGTGACAAGACAGCCCAAGCGGTGCCCCACCGGCTCCCTGTTGGGCTTTAATATCACAAAGGCAATAACTGAACTTTTAGAGGCAAAAGATTCCGCTGTGCGGCATGTGCCTGTGCATAGTTTTCTTCTAGACAATTCGCAACTTCATTAGCAAGTTACGATCTTGACTTTTAAGAGCACATATACTTTTATTTTAACCCTATTAAAATGTAATGAAAGCACTTGCAATTGTACAGAAACCATGAGTGTTCTGCTTTTTAAAAAAAATTATTATTATATCTTTCCATTCCAATGTAAAGGAAGAGGATGGAGAGAGGCTGGTGGAGTCATTTTTGGCCCAGCTTTTCTCAGCTGCTCAAGCTGTTCTGGTTTATGTGCAAGGAGCCTTTCAGTGAGGGAGCTGGAAATATTGCAAGCTACATGCCTGTTTTAATTAATTCCACCTGAACTAGGGGAGCATCTCTATTCCAAAGAGACTCACCAGTATGGATGCTTCTGTCATTAGTAAGCTGAGTGTACACGAATCTGATTTGTGGAACATTTTCTGTTGCCAGAATATTTGGGTTGCCCCCTCCTCTCTCACCCCCCACTCAACTTCTCTGACGGGGCTAAAACCCAGTTTGAGATCCCAGCCAGTCATGTCCTTATTTAGCAAGATGATCTTAAACAGACACCATCAGCTCTTTAGGGGCCCTGTTCTCTTACTTGGAGATCCTAATCTTCATCAAACACTAACTTTAGGGCTGATGTAGCGATTTTCGGTTATAGCTTCTTAAAATTAGTTAATTGGGAATCACAGCCTTTGACATTACCAGAACAAATTAACTGAATCAGAGTGTGTTTTTCCTGGCAACAGCGAACTCTGGCATTATTTCACTCATTTGTCTTCTCCCCTTTCCTTGGACTAAGCTATTTTGCAATGGTCAAAAGGGGATAAGGGTGGGAGGAAGGGTCTCTATCCAAGGAACAGCAAACTACGTTTGCCTCATCACTCAATCCTCTATTTTAAAAAAATGTTGAAAAATAGCGGTACTTTCTTTTAACCACCCTTGTCACCAAGTCTGATGGTGTCTTTTAAAAATGGCAAAACTGAATCATAGGAAAGGATTTGGCTTTTACTCCAGCTCATCCACGTGATGGAAATACAACATGGAAACCAAGAACTTCTCCATTGCAAGAGTCTCTGGTGAGCGCGGTGGTGAAGCTGGTGCCCTGCCCTGCACGGGCGGTCCTGCAGGAGCACCAGGGTTAGCCCAGGTTGCCCGCTGACGCCCACTCGGCGACCTAGGCGGTTTCCCTGGCGTTACATGGCACAGCTTGCGAGTCGCATCACAGTCCCACATTCTCAGTACTTTAATGCTAAACCAACCATTTCAAAAGATGCGTAAATCCCTTGACATAAAGAGATAATCAATACACTCATGTTCTTTTCTTTACAGAGGTAAAAACCATTTGGTTCTCTTTACACTTTAGTTTAATCTTGTTTTAAACATTTGACCTTGATGCCCTGCTGTACTGTATCTCTTACAAATTTTACTTGTTGATTTAATTGACAGTAAACATAGAATCCCTTTCACTCAGGGATAAGGTCTCCTTGTTTTGTTTTGTTTTTTTTTTTTTCACCCAGTCCCCCAAATTTGGGTAAGGACAAACCCACGATTCTTATGAGTGTGTCTTTGCATCCCTAACATCAAGGTTTGGTGCCATGAAGGATGAAGCTGCCGAGCCTTGAAGCCGTGGGCTCAGGGTATGCGGACAATTAAGCGACTTGTGTGACTAGCCTGTGTCTGATTCCCCCGCAATCACGTACTGGAAGCATCCTGACTTACTCTCTCCTCCACAGCCCTCTAAAAGTACGACTTCTTTTAGCAGCTGAGTGTCATGTGGACAAATGATGAATTTGTCTTGTGATTTCTGATTTCAGCCATGAGCTTTCTGTTTTCCTGACCATCCTTCCCCTTCAAAGAACAAATAAATAAATTTATGATTAGGTATTCTTATT